TAAGGACACAAATGAATATTCTACTTCATTAAAGCTTATCTCCCCTCAAGCCTCAGTTTGAATTCTGCTTAAGATGAGTAACAAGTGAAAAAAAATGTTTGTTGATGGTTATTCAGGAAGGGAAAAAATGAATCCTTGATGGTAGTCAGTATGAAAAAAATAGTTCACAGCTTTGCCATTGTTATAAATAAGTATGATTAGCCTTTCCTCTCCTGTAGGTAATTAGGGGTGCTAGTGAAAGATGAAGTGAGGTAGAAGACTCATTGGAAAAATGCAGGTAGTTATTGACAACCTCCCTAACTTACTCTCATACTAGGACTTCAAATGCTACAGCAAAATCATGGAAGGAGTTGTGTGACTTTCGGAGTCTTCTGGGATGTCAGAAGCTTTCAGAATTTGTTTGGTCAGTGGCTGGGGAGATGGCTTAGTTGGTAAAGTGCCTACTGTATGAGCAGAGGGGCCTGGGTTTGATCTCCAGGACCCATTAAAATGCTGGTTATATTCAGGCCTAGTGGCACACACCTTTGATTGCAAGCACTGGTGAGGCTGAGGCAAGTGGATCTCTATGAGTTGAAGGTCAGCCTGGTCTACAGAGTGAGCTGCAGGCCAGCCAAGTCTACATTGTAAGACCCTATTGTAACCCCTCTAGTCAAATGTTGAGTATACATTCAGCATACACTTGTAATTACAGTTTGGAAGAGGAGGAGACAGAGACAAGTGGATTGCTGGAACCTGATGACCAGCCAGTTAAGTATAGCCTAATCAGTAGCTCCAGGCCAAGTGATACACTGTCAAAAAAAAAAAAAAAAAAAGTGAACTGTTCTTAAGGAACAACATTCGAGGTTGACCTGATCTGTGGTGTCCCTATCCATACACACACACACACACACACACACACAAAGGGGGGATGTGGAGATAGAAGAGATTGATCGATCAGTTATTTGTTATGTATGGTATGTGGGAGAACCAGCAGACATGGCTCAGTTTTGGATTTCCAGTAAAAAGTTAGGCGTGGCAACATGTGATTATAACCCCAATGCTAAAGGCATACTGGTGGAGAGCAGCAGATACCTGAAGCCCACTGTCTAGCCAGCCTAGCTATATTAATGAGGTTCAGGTTCATTGAGAGATGTTGTCCAAAAATTAAGGTGGAGGCAAATCACATCAATATGGACCTTTGCCTGAATATGAACATGAACACGTGTGCATACCCACTAATGAGTACATGCATATCACACACACACAATTTTAAAAATGTATTTTTGTTTTCTAAGAGGTTAATGAGGAGCCAAGGTGAATGGAATTATCTTCATTTCATTTTTCGTTTTAATATTTTTCTTTCTTTCTTTCCTTCTTTCTTGCTTTCTTTTTCTTTTTTCTTTTTTGGTCTTTCAAGACAGGGTTTCTCTACATAGCCCTAGTTGTCCTAGAACTTACTCTGTAGTCCAGGACTTCAGAAAAGAAAGGGAGATGCTATGTTAAGGAGAAATTTCAAGGGCTGGGAATATATTCCAGTTGGTAGAGTGTTTGCCTAGTATGCATGGTACTCAGAGCTCAACCCCCAGAGTGACATAAAAGAAGGGGGAGGTAGAGGAACCGGAGGCATGGTGGTGCATATCTGCCATCCCCGCACTTGGTTAGTACAGTCAGGAGGATTAGAAACCCTGACTCCAAAAGAAAAAAGAAAGAAAGGAAGGAAGGGAGCGAGAGAAAAAGAAAGAATCCAACAGAAATGAGGCATTATTTCAATTTCATTTCAATTAATACTCAAAAATATGCCGTTGTTAAAATGTATTAAACTTATGTCTAGGAAGAAAAAAATGTTCATTTATTCTCTGAGAGGACCAAGTCATAAACTGAGAAGTATCAGTAAATTTCTAATCACCAAGTCCAATGTGCTGGCTTAGCTTTTCAGTTATTTGAAGCCTTTTAATTGAGTTGACCATTTTCACCTTTATAAAATCTTTCTTGGGTTCAGGATTTTTTTTTCTCTTTCCCTATAATCTTTTGTCTTCCAGTGAATTTTATTTTTCTTTCAACCTACCAAGAGGCCGTTTCTTAATACTTTACTTCCTTCAATAGATCTGCTCTTCATCTCCTCCAACCCTTGAATTTCAATTAAAAATGAGAAGAAACACTCTCCACTCTCCCTCACCCCCACAACATATACATTTACATGCATGTATAACTTTTATATGAAAATATTATCTGAAGACTGATTCAAGATATTCTCAAAGATGAGTAGACCTATAAATCCAGAAGTAGCAAGTATCACTATGCTCCTGGGGCCACATTAGCTGTGCCATTCAGTTATTAAAGGGTCTTGTTGAGAATTTCCCCACTTCACCAACTACAATAAATTTCTTTCTTTCTTTCTTTCTTTCTTTCTTTCTTTCTTTCTTTCTTTCTTTCTTCCTCTTCTTCTTCTTCTTCTTCTTCTTCTTCTTCTTCTTCTTCTTCTTCTTCTTCTTCTTCTTCGTCTTCTTCTTCTCCTTCTCTCTCTCCGTTCCTTCCATTCTCTCTCTTCCTTCACTCCTTTCCTTCCTTTCTTCTTTCTTTTCTTTTCTTTCTTTTTTAAAAGCACTTATGACCACATAACAATGGTTTATAGGGCTCTAGAGTCTGGTTTTCCCCAGAGACATGGCAGTAGAAGATGACCCAACTTATTTCTTCTGATGCTTTCTTTATATTCTCTAATATATTATATTCTGATACTGCCTTTGGTTTACACACCCAACTTTATTTCCCATAAATTTACTTTAATTCAGCCAATTTTTTTTTACCCACTATCCTCTGATTAGATACTATTTTTTTTTTCCTCTTTGGCTTAGCTACTCCACTTCTTCCTTCCCTGTGGCTTCCTGACTGCTGAAAATGTACTTTATTCAAATTCAGCTTCCTTCACAAAATCTATACAAATTCCCACTTTGCAGAATATCTTCTATTTCTGTAATTCAAATAATTATGGTTCTTACCATTTGTTGCATATTTATCACATATTTTCACATACTGTTCATTATTTTTTCATGTGAATTAGGCTTATCTCCCAAATTAAATAATAACCATGGCTCAATCTTCCTGGCCCATCTTCTCCCACACATGCACACAACAGGGACTATATTGAAAACACTCAATGAACATGTATTGATTTGTTTATTGACTGAATACATATGAAGCCTAAGGAACAGTGAGTATTAGGAGAAAAGGGATCTTAAAGTCTGTTGAAAGGGTGTTCAAGATTGATTTGTAAACCTCCTGGATTGGAACAATTTTTGTTAACCTCACTTTGGAGTCAGGTATTCACAATGCTATTAAATTGTTACCTCGTTGCACTTTCAGTGCTCACAAAGGAAATGAAATCAGCTTTTATTAATGCTAGAAGCTGACTCTTTAACATTTTTCTTTAAAGGAAACTGCAGCCATTTTGGAACTTACAAACTGGGACTTTTTTGGAGAGTCCTTACTTCATGGTATATTACTATTATATTTTATATGAAATTATTTGGTTTTGTTTCTGTTTTTATAAGGCAACATTATTCTAGCAACATATAATATTAAAACTGGAAGTATTCTTAGCAATCAACTAGTTCAATATATGAACTTTACAGATATGGAAACTGAGTTCCAAGGAGAATAATTGATTTGCCCAAGGTCATAATCTAAGTATTGCCAAAGCTGAATCTAGAAATTAGAGTTATTGGTACATGATGTTATGGTTTTACTAGAACCATGTGGTTGTACACTTTCAGTTTTGTATTTAATTTGACATTATTCAAATCAGTAAAAACAAAAGTTTTAAAAAATCATTTCTTTTATTTTGCACCCAAGATAGTGAGCTAGTGCCTCTTAAGTCATTAATAAGAGTATGCACAGACACCATGAGCAATACACTGTGATGCATATCAAGATAAGGGAAATGTAAATATCTTCTTAATTATTTACACTTCCTTTTTGTTTGTTTGTTTTTGCTTTTTTGTTATTTGAGACAAAGTTTCTCTGTGTAACAGCCCTGGCATTCCTGGAACTCTCTCTGCAGACCCTGAGATCCGCCTGCCTCTGCCTCCTGAGTGTCAGGATTAAAGAAAGGTGTGTGCCACCACCACCCAGCAATTATTCACAATTCTGAAGCCACATAAAACTGCACATTTTTTTTAAATTGTAAATTTGAAGGAAAGCAGTTATGTGATTTTTGTTGTTTTGTTTTAGGAGATGACTTTGTACTGGGACTGTGCTAATTTTTGTAATGGTGGTATGGAAGACTGAAACATGAATATAGTGTCATACAGAAAGAGACATACACATAGTGAATCCATGTCACTTTGTGCTGTGGGGAGAGATGTTGTTCAGTGTTTGTGGGAGAAAGGACTGTCACAGTACCCTTAACTTCTCTTCTCCCGCAGGAGCAGAGCCAAATAAAACACCATCCACCGGCTTCTACTGCTTATTCATTAGCTCTTCTAAAAAGAAGTGAAATTGTCTACTCTTGTTTAAAACTCTGTCTGAGAAATATTGTTTGGTACCTCTAGCAGATGCAGAGATTTAGAAGTGAGGAGAGAATTTGAAAGTAATTAAATTATTAACTTTTATAAGGAATGTTCATGGAAATTTGGCTTTTGGAAAACACTCTGTACTCTATAGTACATCATCTCATTTGAATTTTTCAAGACAGATACCAAGTGGTAGCTAATACAAGCATATTGTATTATAATTTAAAATGTCTTTTAAAGCAAACATTGCAACTGGAAATTCATACAACTCATGGATCCATCCATACAATTCAATATTTCCGAACTTTATAGGCAAATTAGGGTATAAGAATGGAGGACAAATTTGCTCAGTAAAGCAGAAGATGTGGTAAACTCAAATTTGAAACAAAACCAGATCTGTGAAGTCTAACTTCTTGTTATTCGTGGAGGCACAAATGATGGGTCGGTGTTTTATCAGATTCAGGAAACTATGACACAGAACAAGCATGATGCTGCTATGTAAATGTCACTTACCTGTACCATTGTTAATTGTGGTCTGGATTGTGGCTTCTGGCCCCATAACATCATAATCATCCTTCATTTCTTCTGTGGGGGAAAATTATCTTTAGCATTTGGAAATTATAGAAAGGCTTACTACACTAAGCATGCCAACCATAGGAACAAGGAGGGGTCTTTGAAGGAAAACAGAATAGGCTTGTTGTAGACCTCTAAACAATAGCTTTGTTCAGCTACTGAATGAACCCAACGGTGCTGGCTGCACAAGAACTTATTTACTTTAAAGCATTACTGCAAGCTGTGAAAAACAGAGGTGTTTATTTGGAGCAAACGCAGTGCTTTTCTTCTAGTGGCAGTTCTAGTGGCAAGCAGGAGGAGATGTTAGGTTTTCAATAAGAGTTAAGTCAAAAGTGATGAGGTATTTGTACTTAGGAAGAGCCATGGTAGCTGCTATCTCTGGGTGCTTTAGTGGCAAGGCAGAGTTTATCATTTTATTTACATGCTCTCCTTGGTGTAGCTATGATGGTGTCAGTCTAAGCAAGCATACTTTTTTAAAATCCCAAATTCTGCATATCAAAACTTGGAATGCCTAATTATACAAACTAATGTCTCAGATATGTATCAAAAACATCCATTCAATGTTTTATGTAAATTTTTAAACTGTTTTCCTCATTCCTTTTCTCATTTCTCATAAACAGCTTCCAGTTTGGGCATTTATGCTTCCACAGGTAATCATACTCATTTCCTGATGAAAAACATAGAGAAAACAGTGGCCCAATGTTTTAATTAAGATGAAAATATGTAACATTGACAGTGAGACTTGTGAATGATTGAAGGCCAGTTTTGAAAATGATAATAGGAGGCTATAGGAATTTTCTCTGTCTACTACATTGTAGAGTATGTGGGACGGCAGAGCAAGGCAAGCTGCCAGTTAAAAATCTTTCAAATAAACAAACATAACATGGACTTTTAAAAACTGTAGTTTCACAGTGACAATACTAATGAGAACAGGACATGATCCAAGATGAGGAGTTCTGTGCTGTAATCATTTCATTATAACATGAAGACCTGTAAGTAGAACTCTCAAATTTATCCTGATCATTTTCTGCTTCTCACATAATACACCACTGTGGCTGAAAAACAGTCACTAGAAAACGTTACAGCAAAAGTGACTGTATCTGTATGTGGAATCAAAGCTGACATAGCATGTTCCTGTCAGATGCATGAACATGCATAGATGCTATTTTACGGCATTCTTCAAAATAGTCACATAATTTTAATAATATTTATTTAGATTGTATACCCACTTCAAATTAATTTCTGACCCTAGGCATCTCCTTTATTCTAGGAACATATTCACAGGGACCTTTTGAATGAAGCACATAGAAGTGCAATACACAGCAACATTGTATGGTCAATTGTAATAATCGATGTTTTGGGAGACTCTTTTGGTATCTTTATTGGTCCCTGAAAGAAACTAAATGGATTTTTCTGAGTTTGGTACTAGATATAAATATAGCTTCTGTGCCTTTTGTCCTCAACCCATCTCATGTGATTTCTGGTAGCCAAGAGTCACAAGAATCATAAGTTTTCCATTTGAGAGCACATTGAGCCACAAAGGAGACAATGGTTAATAGCTTTTAGGTTTTTTTATTTTTACTTTTTGCATAATGGTGGTAATGTTCAAGATTTCTGCTGCACTTCCTTCCTCACTGTCATTTTCTTATGAAAAGGTAAAGAGAAGTTACAGTCATTGGCTGCTTCTCAAATTTGTAAAGGTTGGCTGCACAGACACATAGTAGGTCCTTTGTGCAGAGGGCATTGTTCAGTTCTAACCATCTTTTATCAAAGATTCCATAACTGACCAGAGGCAATGCTGCAGTTTTTACCTGGGATACATTGTCCTTGCACTTTCTGAGCCCAGCCTTTTCCTTTTGGAATATTAAGTTCTTCTATTAAGATGAGTCACTGATCCCTTCAGGTGCTGGGGTCTATGTAAATCCATATTCAAAAGGACATG